CATTGCCCCGACAGTCTGTTAAAGCTATACGGGGGATCTTTGTATTTGTATATTAACCAGTATTCTAGTGTGTTATAATACATTAATGTTAATCGGTGTGTGTAATCCAACGCATTGGATGTACGGATGGCGGATCACGTTAAGATTGAGCCGCTAAGATACACTCTCACCTGGGCACCCGAGGATCAGGCGGTGAGTGTTTTGGTTTACGAGGCAAGGACGCTTGTGTGGAATTTTGAGAGTGGGTTTCTCTGAGCACTCTCAGCTCCCTCCCAAATGGTGTTGGTACCGGACCACCACACGTCACGACCCGAAAACACATCGGAGAGCTTTACAGCGCAACCGCGAACACATATGCAGTCGTATCCCGAGGTAGCGGTGGCGAGCTGTTGATTACCTCGCCTGGTATGCAGGAAGTCGTGGGTTCGATCCCGATCCTGACGCCTGCTGTGTATTTGGAGTGTGCATGTCTCTCCCCATGGTCACGTGGGGTTTTCTCCGGGTCCTCTGGTTTTGCCCTCCACATTTAGAAACGTGCTTTCAGAGTATTTGGCTACTATATATTTCTACGTGAAAAAAAAAAAACTTCGCGGGCTGTCACTTGTGGTCAGGTTGCTTTTGAAAAATATCTAAAAAGCTCAGTGGGCCTTACCTGGCAAAATAAAAAAAAGTTAAGTTTTAGTTTAGATCCCTTAACAGCAAAAGAGTCTTGTGCCTCCAGTGAGGCTTTCCTGGGTAAACAATAATTATAATAATTATGCCACACTCATGTGTGTTTGAGCGCCGGAATTGTTTACAATACATCTCTTTCGAACAGGAGGCAGGGAGATTTGGCCCAAATTTGGTGTCTCGGTGCCTTAAATGCCCCAGCCCCTCAAGGATGTTTGCGCTCGAGGTGGCTGGGTGGCTCAGGCCTGAGAGCATCGAGCCACTAAATGTTAAGATTTCTGGTTCAAGTCCAGGTTGTGGTCGCCCGTGATGACATCAAGTTATCTTGTATAAAAAGTTTATACTACACTCACAAACCGGTTACCAACGATTATGGAAAACACAATAATGTAAAAAAAAAATTCCACTTAATTTCTCTTTTGCCTTTGAGCAAATCACATGGATCGCACGTAATCTTGGCAGTGAAGCAGGACTGAGCCTCAACAGTGCTTGTGGATGAGCAACCACGATAACCAAACGGGTGCTATCGACTGCTGCGTGGCGATGTTCTTAGCAGAGGGCGGTGTGTAAAGAAATATCATTGCTGTGCTCATACATCAGTGCTTGCCACCTTCACCAGCCCGGACGGACCAGCACGGTGAAGTATGGTCAAATACCCCCCCCCCCCCCACCGTGTCCAATGTGGCGTGTGCAGGCCTTCATCCACTAGGCGTTACCAATACGGGGTGTAAATTAATTTGGCTTTGGGCAGTTTCTGAGAATTATTAAAATGTAAAAGTTTGAATGACATGAAACGACCACATTTTACAAGGCGTATAAAATGTCTGGCTCCAGTGTGCATTAAATGGCTTGTGGTAAGTGACTTCACAAGCAGAGTGCACACCCGCCAGCAGACCGAATGGCAGAGAGCCCCTGTAACTTTGAAATATATATTTAATACTGGTAGGAACCTCCTGGTTACACCACCAGCCCACAGGGGATTATTGTGTCCGTCCGTCGTGCATCCAAAAATGGGAGGGGTGGGGCTGGGTGGAGAGGGGAGGGTGGGGAAGGGCTGGGTGGGAAAGGGAGGGGCTGGGTGGGGAGGGGAGGGTGGGGAGGGGCTGGGTGGGGAGGGAGGGGCTGGGTGGGGAGGGGAGGGTGGGGAGGGGAGGGTGGGGAGGGGCTGGGTGGGGAGGGGAGGGTGGGGAGGGGCTGGGTGGGGAGGGTGGGGCTGGGTGGGGGGTGGGGCTGGGTGGGGAGGGGCTGGTCACCCCGTGGTGCCCTTATTAAACTCAACGTTTAACCTACTCACGCCGGCTTGTGCCCGCCCTCACAGTCGCCGTTGACTCTGGCCATTGACCGAGCAACCCAACGTTCCTACCAGCTCCCTCCGCAGGAGAATGTGTTATCGTGTTTTATTAACTCTTGCTGCTGCCGCGTCTGTCTGCTGGCCGAGTCATCCTTGAACAAAAAAAAAAGAGCCGTACAGCTCGATGGGTCATTTACTCGGACAATAATCTTCTGGTTCTGATTGATATCACCTCACGGGAGCCGTTCCGCACTGCTTGCTGCAAGAGTCCCGCATGGAAAGTTATTCACCTCGTGACACAACACACGAAGAGCGCTCTTGGGTTATAATTGAAGAAGCTTGGAGGAGGAGGAGGAGGAGAGGGGGGTTGCTCAAACCAACTTTGTTTTCCTAAACCCTCGCCAACCAAACACCTCGTGGAGGGCTGCCCTCCTCCACCTGGATATGAAATCGTGTTTATCTCCCCGTCTCACGATCCTCCCCTTTAGCCCGCACCTTCCGATCCATCGTCTGCGATCTTCTCTCAGTCTCTCGATGCCCCCCAAGCCACTTCCTCTGAACGCGACGAGAGTCGCTCCCCAACTCTTGGCACCGGCAAGCCTCACGCGATACGGCTCTTTGTGCGCCCGTTATCTGCGACGGGTTTTAATGCGGTGGAGATGTCAATTCGACTGCGCCGTCCGTCGTGTAGGACACAGGCGAGGCTAAATTTGTCTCGCCAGGTGCGGGGAACTGAAGGTCGCGAGTTCAAATTTCGGCCCTTCGGCCCATCGTCTCCTCTCGGTCGGTAACATTGGAAGGGTCAATAGTGGTTGCATCACGGACTGATGTTTGCATTGTGCATGTGGATCATTTTGCCCGTGGAGATAAGAACAACTCAGCTCCTGTCTCTGTTGGCTAACCAGCACACATTGTTTTCTCACAAGAGAGACTTGTGTAGTTACAGTAATACGTGATTAACGATCCCATCGGTTAATCAACTGATATCAATTCTTAAGTTCACGATACACGTGCCAAATCACACCAGAAATAATTCACATATTGATTTTAATTTGTACGTGTTGTATGCCAACAACCGAATCACTCGCAATTGCCCGATCTCATCAGATCTCAGGACTGTTAAGCAGTGTTGAGCTAGTATATTGCTTGATTGGGTCACCACCATGTAAAAAAACAAGCATTATAGGCTACTGCAGGGCTTGTCAGCAGAGGGCAGCGCAGCATTCAATTGTTGTACCATACTCTGCTCGATAGTCTATGCAACCTACCTCCACCGATCCACACCAACTAGCATGACGTATGTTCATGTAACCCCCTACAAACCAGATGGTGTGGAGTTGTGAAGGAGGCTCTTATCCTGCTGTGGAATGACAAAAAGGCTGCACTGAGATTTGTTGAATGCGATTGGTTCACATGGCCACTACCGGTTCCTGCAATGTTGATTTAAGAAAAACTCATCAACAATTTTAGCATTGAATCATGACTCGGTAAATAGTTTTTACTTTAATTTTCTTAAACTTTTGAATGTCTTTCTAAATATCGACTTATGGTTAACTGTTCATATGCCAATTTTAAGACTGTTCATCTGGAAACATCCTTCAAACTAAATTTATATCAGGGCTCCACGGTGTATCGCCTAGTCACCAACTTTTATTCATACTCTTCTGGTTCTTTCGGTAAAGGCACGGAGGTAGAAATTAACGGATCGCGACGATTTGATCGCAACACAAGCGGCCGTCATCAGGTGAGACAATCACAGCAGGGAAACTGCTTCACATACGTGACTTTACCGAAATAACCAAAGAGCATGGATGCCTGCAGTCACGAAAGCTTCAAATCCAGATTGAACTATTATTCAATCAGTATCTCTTTGCCGTCTCTCGTATAAAGAAGGGCCATTGCCCAAAAAGTCCAGCGATTTTCTGCTCCGAGCATTCAGGTGGTGCTCATGATCCCATTTAAAGCCGTGAGCCAGTGCTGGAAATTCACTATTCCTGTGGCAGAACTGAGTCTATCCATTGCTCCACTTCCTTTACAAAGTGATACTCATTTGATTGACCCTGGGGGGGATGATGGGGCGGCATCAACCCCCGTTTCAGGATTGAAACTCGCAAACTTCCGATTGGGAGCCACTGTGGAGCCACCTGTACTGAAACGTGACACTACAGTACGTTTTGTTTTCTTATTTTAGGGCAATGTATTCTCATTTGATGGTAATTCATGTTCATTGAGCGCCTTCACACAAGGCGATGGATGCGTTGAGTTTTCATCGTGCAATGTTATTGAATTGCTGCTTGTGTGGTCGGTGGAGTTGAATGATAATGGCCAGAGTAATGCACGAAACACAATTCACTCATTCCTGATTTTTTTTTTCTTCTGGAAGCACGTCTGTGCTTGCGCCACCGACTCAAAAACGATTCAAGAATTTCGCGGCACCCTGAGATACATATATAATGAGGCATCGCAGGGCTTGGGTGAACGCGTTATTATGGAGACAGTGGATGCACTATTTCAGGCGCAAAGCACAGGGTGGTCCCTGCCATCAGCTGACGCTCGAAAATAGCCACAGTCCGCTGCTGAAACGAGACGCCGAGAAGGGTACAGGGCAAGCGTCTAGCTTCTCCTACATAGCCTGCATGCAACCATGTCCCAGCTCCCAGAACGAGAAAACAACTGCTATAGCGCGTGTGCTTGCTTCGTGTTGTGTATTAATGTAATTATGTCCTTTGTTCACCATGAAAATGGCAATGGGTTTTCAGATGCTTTTTCAGGACCCTGCCAAAGGAATTGACTTTTTAAAATATATCTTTTTGGTTGGCCTTTTAAAAATGTATTTTCCACGGCAAAAATAACAGCAACATAACACGTACGAAAATAAACAGGCACAAAGACGGTGGACGCAGCTGGCAACATATAATCAAGCGCAGTGGCATGTCCATGAATTAAATTTAGATTCAATGCTGATGAAAAACCCCCGAAGGCTTTTCCCTACCCAGTACGTGTTGGGTGCGATATCAACACAACACACCTCGCACAATGGTTAAGACCCATCAACACTTTATTTACAGGAGGAAAACCCAGGACATTATGAAAAATACTTAAAATAAACCATCCACACAAACTTCATGCACTATTAAAAAAACGTCTTAAAAAATTCTACTGTTAGGGAATACCATAACGAGGATTGTTGTCGAGAATGCAATCTAGACGAGCTCAGGAACCGCGCAAGCACAACACATCACGGTCTTTCCGAAACAAATAACACCTGCCAAAACGTGCTCAACAATACATCACGAGCAGGTATACAGATATGTTACCACAACAAGGCCAGATATTATACCAAGACAGATTTTTTTTTTTTAGTAACTGAAACCCAGTGTTCGGCAGAAATGAAAAAGGCATCAATATTCTGCGTTGCATTTAGATTATTAGGATTAAATTGCTGCAATACATTCCCACATGATAAGCCATTTAGATGAGCTATCATTTGTGTCCAGGTCGCTTCTCAAAAATAGGCTAATATCTCAGTAGGCTTTACCTGGTAAGATAAAAATTGTTAAGTTTTATTTGTATATATTTTTCAAGTGACTTGTTTACCTGTCCTACACTTTGCACTCCTATAGTGTTTTATATTGTTTGTTGTTGTTACGGTCTGATCTGACCCGACTGGAGATGTGGGAAAGAGCTTTATAGCTCATCGGATTCCTCCAGTATAAATAAATATTCTGAGTCTGAATATAATATATAACAAATGACTCTTGGAATGTTGAAGTAGTGGTGCCATTTCCTTCCACTTAAATACACATCCATGTTTCGTGAATGGTACACTCCATTTTATATTAAATAGGCAATGATGCATCAATGAAATATATTCTTAGCCTTTATGATACATGCATATAATCGTGCATGTAATAAGGAATTATTTAATGTATTCAAATTATAGCTGAAAAATGTAGGCTGAAGCGAACAAAGCAGTAAAGAAATAAAAATACAAACTAGGTGGCAAAAATTAGACAGATTCTTGTATCGAATCGTGACCTCCAATTGCTACAAGAACATCAAATCGGTGGGGAGGTGAATCTTCAAAGATGACCTAAACCGAGTGACAGAACTTCATTAGAATTTGGGGGGGGGGGGGGGGGAAGATAAGCGTTTTTGTCAATAGCTTACTCATGGGATGTAACAGGCTGTTTAATTTAAACTTCACAGCAGACAACATACTTTGGTAATTCGCCTGCAGAAATTACTGGGCAGCTGCGGGAATGTGACTGTCAACTTAAAAACGAGTGCAGACAACTGAGCTACCCAGCTTCCAAACGTGTATAATTTATCAACAATAAACTTTACCAACTGTGAGCGTACACACACCACAAACAATATCGATCACAATATGCATCAGTTAAGATAGCCTTTTACAGGAAAAATGCATGCAAATAATTTCAGAATTCAGGGAGGCTTGTGGCGCAAAAAATAATCTTAAAATCGTCATCGAAGCAGCTGGGATAAACATGGGAGCGCTGCTCTATCGTCATCTTAGCACGTGCTTTCCTGCCCCGACTGCGTGGTCACAGCGTGCACTACAAACCAATGGTGCTCTCAAGACCTTTCATGAAAACGAGGTTCGAGACCTTGGCTTTTCTGCCAAGTCCACTGCGCTTGAACACAGATTGGAAGGATATGGCAGCCAAGTCCACTCTCTGTCACCATCATGCAACTAGCCAAGGGCTAGGATGCCATTTATCCGAGCATCCTCCAACTAATTTCAACAGAGAATTTCATTATGTTAAATAAATGGGAGCACTTGAGTTGCGAAGATTAAAAACTAATTTCGACATTTCTCTCCTGCGAGAGAAACATGTGCTACTTAATATTATTGTTGGCTTTGGGACTCCCTGTTTACATTTGACCAGATGTGGTCTAGCAGAGTTTGCTGTGCTGGATAATAATGCTTTGAAATTCAGTTATCGTTTTTTAAATATATAAATTGATTTATTCTTGTCCCAGTCAGAGACATTTGCCTACATATAGAACTTTTTTTCCATGAATGAAAAAAAATATCATGTGTAGATCACTTTCTTGGAAATACAAGGAATTATTTTAAACAGGAGTGCATCAAGACATCATTCTTGCTCGAAATGAGTAAGCAGCGAATGTTGCAGCCATTTGTTTTAGGCTTGCAGCCCTCTGGGTCGTTATAAGGGTCCGTTATAGTTTACAAAGTTTCTGTAACATGCTGCAGTGCTGGGGCAGCACTCATTGGCACCTCTTTGGGGTGTCAATTTATGGGCCATGCGAGCAGGCGGTCGTGGTCATGACTCTTGTCCTAAGGGGTCATAAATCGAAAATAACACTTTGTAATGGGACAGCGAGCGGTCTCTTGCAACAAGGGTTGCGAATGGCAACTGGCGATGGTTAGCTACTGCATAGATCCATAATGCAAGCTACATTACGGATCTATGCATACAACTCAAGACGGAAGATGTCATATTGCCGAGCTATGATCAAATATGATCGGATCACAATTTTTGTTCCCACCCCCCCCCCCCCCATGACTCATTGGCAAGGAAGTATCTGTGTACTCAATAGACCGTCCATTCCCCAAGCAAGTGCTGACACCTATGGTCTGTTTTATCTAAAGGATGGTCGTTTTAACTCAGTGTCCTTCCAATAGAGGAAAATTACGTACATAATGTACATGCAGCCAAGGTACTCACTCGTACCCCTATTTGGGATCGTGTCTCAGGCCTGTGCTCATGTCTCTTGCATTGGCTCCCAGTTCAAACCCGCGTTGATTATAAGATTCTCATACTTTTGTAAAAGGCTTTAAACGGGCTTGCTCCACACTAATACAAAAGTTGGTTCAGCCATACATCACTGACATCTCCAAGGTCTACCAATCGTGTCCTACTCGATGCAATATGCTCCAGGCTTTGACTCTGGGGTGATGGGGCTTTTATTTGTATGGCACCCAGGTGCTGGAATTACCTGCTCCTGGAGGTTAGGAACTTGGAGTCAATGGACACACTTAAGTCCTGGCTAAAAAACTCACCTATTTAAAGCCTTCGAAAATTTTCCCTTTAGGCTTTCTCTCCCTGATTACATATTAATTCCATCCCCCTTTACATTTGTAGAAATCTGAGATACATTCACGAAGGGCACTTTATAAATCAAAATTACTATTACTACACAATTGGAAAAATAAGCTTATGAACAACAATAACTTTACCCTCAAACTAATTTTAAGCAATGCCACCAAAGCTTTTATAAGCAGCCACGGACTTAAATTGACAAAGCAGCGTGAAGAAGATTCCACTGTGCGCCACATCAGAATTATGCCAAATGTGTTATTCAAATCCTGATCAGCTATTAGATGTTCCCGTTAGATGTTTTACAAGGCTCTCACAATGTTGCAATAACTTGTCAACTCAAAGTTTCTGTAATAAAATAAATATATCTCGAGGTTAGTGGCATATGTTACAGTGCACAAACGGAGAGTCCCATTTGACTTTTGTTTGCATGCTGGGACGCGAAAAGGCTTTTGAGGAATGTAATGAAAAACCCAGCAACCACACTTGTAGACCAGGAAGACCAATGCTGTGGCAACCAGGATTTGTGGCTTTGTGACTCTTGAACAACAAGTGTGTTTTATTTCACTTATCACTGCTGCAGCAGGAAAAGTAAGAATGCTTCCCCAAAAGCTCAGCTCTCGAAAGAGGACCCAGCCTTGCTCTTGCGGCTCAGAGGGAAGGTAGACTTGCTCTGTGGCTGGGTCATCTTGCTGGCCAGGTACACGAAAGGCTCCAGCAACGTCCGTCGGTCTGTCACCGTAACCTCCCACAGCCGCACCTAAACATTGCAAGTCGAGTGCATGGGTGTCAAACACAGCAGTAATTACAAATCATGACGACGGTAGTCAATTAGAATTTAAACGGAGCTATTGCGGAAGGGCTGTCTCCAGATTATTTTGTCCTGAGTCACGGAGATTGCGCTGTGCTGACATCATAGCTTGTGTATCCACGCACCTTTTCGTTCTTGGCCCAAAGCTGAGCTGCCTCTGCCTCTACTTGCCGGTAGTCCGCCAGGTCACTCTTGTTTCCCAGCACCAGGATGGTTACCTGCCACGGGAACCGTGCCAACTCAGGGACAATTTTCTGCGTAACGAGCAACCTGCAAGTCCCTTGGATGTGACTGTCCCTTTCAGTCAGCCAACTAAAAGTTTTAACGAATATAGTGCCCTGTCTATCTCTAACATTCTCTTGCCATCTCTGTACTGTATGTGCCAATTTATCTCGATTTCTCACTTTTCTCTGTTTCTATCCGTTTCCGTTTCCTCTGTCTCTTCTTCTACCTCTTGCACCCTCTATAGTCCTCGTCTCCACTGTAACTCATCCACTTCCATCACCCCCCTTTCTCCCTGTTTCTCTCACCCTAACTCTCCTTATTCTCACCTCTTTCATCTCAATGGCTCTTGCCTCTCCCTAATCCGTCCTCCCATCTCATGCCCTTTCACGGTCTCTCTGCCCCTCTCCATGCCTCTCGATGTCTCCCTCCCTCCCCTCTCCCTCCTCTTGTCTCTCTCCTCTATCGCATTTGCGCGTCATACATGGCTGGGGTAGAGAGCGGGTGGGCGGAGAGGCATGACTTCAACACGCCACACGAACCCGGTTCAACACCGTGGAATGCGGTGTGACATCCTTGCACAAATGTGCGATGTGACGTCACTCCCACATGCACACTTGGCCCGGCACCAGGCAGGAATCCAGGCAGGAATCCAGGCAGGAACCAGCCAGAAAACTTTTCTATTATAGTATAAAGAGATAAGATTGTATGATTGGCTGTAACTATTCACTGTTCAAAACCACCTATGTGTTGTGTAATTGTCATCACATAGCAAGTGCTCTTAATTGGAAAAACGCGATGTAATAAACTATGGGAAAAATTATGTAAAGCTATTGATGCTACCAAGTTGATATCTCTTGAGACAACTTGATAACATGAGGTGCCACATAGTGATACCAGAAAATCCCGTGGAATGTTCGCAGTTTAAGTGTCCCATGAAGACTCCCTTTGCCCCACATGAGTTATGGAGACGTTTCTTCATTATACAAAATTAACATTCGAAAACATCATTATAAATCTGGTTGCTCATGGTTAGGAGCTTTTTTTTATCTGCTACGCATGGCGGTTGCTGGAGTACAGACTGACCGCCCCCCCCCCCCCCATCGCTGGCGCCACCACCACAATCATCATCAGCAATCATCATCACCTGATGATGATTGCTTGTGTTGCAGTCGAAACGTCGCGAGAATTTTATTGTTTCATATTTTTATTATTTAACCGTTTCCCTTCTACGTGACTTTACCGAAAGAACCAAGGAATATGAATCCCTGCAGTCACGAAAGCTTCAAATCGAAATTTACCTCTTTCTTGTCGCGGGCCTTGTCGATTTCCTTCTTGAGGCTCTCGACGCGGCGGTAGGACTCGCGCGAGTCTATGCTGTACACGAGCACGAAGCCGTCGCCCAGCGCGAGGAGGTGACGTGGCAGCTCCACGCCGCCTTCGCGCAGGCCGCGCGTGTCGTACAGGCGGACCTGCTCGCGCACGCCGCGCTCCGTCTCCATCGACGCCACGTAGATGTCCTCCTGGGTCTCGTTGGTCTCCGAACCTGCAGCATTCGACGGCCGCTTTGGTTGGCCGAACGACGTTTCCCTCACGACATTCTTACAATAATATTCTCGAGCCGTCAACCCATACGGTTTACCCCATATTCTTGTACGGGGCAATTGAGTTTTCATGTCCATATGGCGTACAGCCGTTTAAATATGGGCAATGTTTTTTTTTGTCTCTGTTTCGCCCTTGTGATGGGACTTTGTGAGGATAAACGTTGAGATTTCTAAGGCCACGGGGTGACCAATAAGGTCTGAATTGGTTTGTAATAAGGTAGGCACTGGCAATGGGTTGACAGGTGTGATATTCCGTGAGCTGATTAGTTCAAATGAAGAATTTCCGCCATGCTTCGTGTACCGGGTTAGCAATGCGGGATGTGAGACAATGAAGAATGCGAGATCTGAGCTCTTGTTCACGCCCGATGACGCTGGATGTAATTTCCAGCAAAACATTGTGCAGTATATAAAAAATAGTTAAACATGTTGCTTGCCGTTCAACATTCCGGTTGTGCTAATTAACAAATTACATGCGTGTTTGCCCACGTAACAACTTTATTTTATTGTCGCAGAGTTAAAGTTAAACATTGCCATATCTACCCAATCTCGGCAAAATAAACTGTTTACCAACCCTGTTGGTCCCAAAAGCCTATGCATAATATGAACGAAGAGTATATACCACAGTCGACGTGCGGTGGTGTGCGCTCCTACGTCTTCCAAGTGTGGAAGAGGAGGCCAAAAGCCACTCCAAAAGACACTCATTGCAAGGCCCGCGGGCCATTGGCGGCCCCCAACAATAAACGGAGAGTGAAAACGCCGCTCCGTCATCATCATCGTGCTGCTGTCAAACCCAAATGGTTTCAAATGCGTGGCGGCCCTCACACAGACGATATCTTATCGGCGAAAGTGTCCACCCTCTGAAAATTAGTGAAGAACAATGCTCTGGAAACCGCTCAGCACTGCGATGTTTGTTAATCGCTTAGAAAAGATAAACCGATTCTTGTTGGGAGTTCATTAACGTCGGCGGAAAGGCAAATATGAAAATAATTTGTTTGCAGATAAAATTGTGAAAATGCCACCCCGTACATCTAATGATGGAATAAGTCTGTGAAAAGTTAAGGGATGTCTGGGATACCCCAGGCTCATGTGTGTTGCGTCGCGTGTGCAATTTGAGACGCCCATTTCAGATAACAGATACAGGTGTCAGTTTAACACGTAGGCTTTCGCAACCAACATCCAAAATAGTTTTTTTTGGGCTAGATCGCGTAAATGTATGTCGTTAAACCCGCCACCACCCGACACAGCCAATTAGTAAGGTTTGTCACGTAAACAGAACATGCCAATTCGTTATTAGTACAGCACACCGGTGTGTTAGAGAGCAAAGCCGCAACATTTATAATGTGAGAACGACGTTTCGCCAGTAATTACGAGCTTCATCCTGACAAACCTTACTAATTAGATGTGTCGGGTGAGGTGGGTTCAACGACACATTTATATACAGGGTGCCTAAAAAAATGTTGACACTTACATGGGACTATCGTTTTTAATGGAAAAATAACGGATAATACACTAACACCAAAACAAATGTATGTTAATAGTTTCAAAAAGTCTAAGAGTCTCCACTTGTTCGCCATCATTGTCAACACGTGCCTGGAATCTTCTCCAGGTGGTTCTCCAGAGCACATTTCTCGTGGTATTATTGCAAATTCTCCCAAGTGTTAACATGTTTTTGAAGCGCCCTGTATTTACGCGATTTAACCAAACAGAAACCTGTTTTGTGGAAGATACAGGTGTGTGTGTGTGTGTGGGTAGCAGGTAAGCGCGCTGCGCTACCAATCCGGCGACCCGAGTTCGATTTCCGCTCACGGCCAACACCACCAGTAACGATTATCAGAACCGGTCCTGGGCCTCCCTCAGGTCGACTCAGCCGAAAATGAGTACCTGGTGTAGCGGTGTGTATAACACATCGCCACTGGGGAGACAAAGGCGGCCGGGCGTGGTGCTGGCCACCCACCCCCCTCGCGCGCCGTGCCGGCCTTCATAGGGCGCTGCTCGCTTAACAGCACTTGCCCCAACAGGTATGTTAAGGCTACAGGGCTGGGTGGGGGCGGGTAAATCTTTGTCTTTGTAGTGGTAAAACCTTAAATAAAAAAAACCCTCGCGCTCGTCTGATGAACGCCCACCGATCAAGGTTGAGAAGAGCGGCGCGAACTTCTCACCGACTTTGTGGTTACCATACAACAGCTGCTCTAAGATGGCTGTCTTCCCCACCGAGGACAATCCGCACACCACCACCTTGCAACTCTTGCCCATGGCCTCGAGCAGCGGCCACTGGTGAAGGAGGGGAGAGGGGGAGACCAACAACAGCAACAACAACACGCTTGCTCTTGGCGCCCGTGGGGAAAGGAGCTCGTCTCGCTCTCTCTCGTCAATGCAGATCCCAAAGCGTGCGTCCGTACACAATGCATTCCTGATTGCAACTTATGAAGATCAATCGAGATATCAAGAAATCGCCAACGGCTACTTAAACGGTAAGGGTTGTGATCTTTACAACTTAGGAAGGCAAGGAAACGACTTAGTTCCTACGCAATGCACGACTCTAGCTCACGGAGCCCAGACTAAGGCACCAGTGGGATTGTCAAGGTTCTGTGTGTATTGCTTGGGGCAGGTTGCAAGAGCCAGACTTTTAGGATACTGGGGGTCCAGGTGTTAATCGCCGCGGCTCTGCCACACTAAGCCACCTTTAGGGTCATTGAAATGCAGTCTTCATGTCCGAGGCTCAGATATTTTTTTTTTAGAAAGGCATCATTCGCGCAAAACTATTTGGTTACAATGTTTCACAGGCCGCAATTTTAATCTTAAGAGATCAGGCCCGCTCGAACGTCGCGGGACAGAGCCTGCCTCGCCTGGCCCCGGAGCCCACGGTCACCCTCGCCTCCCCCGGCAGCGGCTCTAGGCGAGACCGAGGCCGCCGGCAAACGAAAAATCCAGAGCGATATCGCGAGACACTCACCACCGCGATGTTTTGTGCCGAGGGGAGATTGTTGACAAATTTCGACTCTAAAGCAACAACGCTGCGCTGCTGCGCTTGGATTACCCCGGCTATGAGATGTTATTGTTCGTAAAGCCGTCTCAATGTTGTGAAGCGGTAACCTGCAGTGACGTCACGCACTGACGTCATCGTACGTGGTGGCCATTACGTCACCCCGCGTTCGGGCGCTAAGGAATAAGGTGAATTATTTGGAAGGCGTTTCACGTTTTTACGGCACCTTTTAAAATAATAGTACCCTGTTCGAGTATAATCGATATGAAAGTGTGCCGTTACTTTGTTGTAATGGTACTTAAAGCACAGCCGACTTTAATATAGGTTTTATTATAAAAGCATAATGAAGTTATTAGTACAACTGTAATATTATATTCGGTGCAAGTACTTCGTTATACGAAACGGCGCATACTGCATTGCTAACATTCACACTTTCTCAAAGTGCGCCCGGGGTAAAATAAATAAATAAAGTTTGAAAAAAATTGGGGTGCACTTTGCAAAAGCGCGCTAGCCAATGGGAAGCCGCCGTTGACCGCGGACCGCTACGAGGCCACCCACTTGGGCGCTTTATAGCCCTCCGCGCCCTCTGCCGGCGCTATTTCCACACCCCCCCCACCCACCCCGCACCTCCCTACGCTGCCGATCTGCGTCCGTGATGCGGACCGGAGGCGTGTGTCCCGCCGCGCGCGCGTCGTGCCGTAGTCCGTGACGAGGTGAGTGTTGGTTACGTCGCTCGTGACTCCGCGTGCGCGTGGTGTGCTCGGGGATTTTTTTGGCGGGAGTTGCGGTGTCTCTTGTGTTGTGTGTTGTGTGTTTGCGCGCGTGCGTGTCTCTCGTGTCTTTGTGCGAGCGAGCGCGTCCGTTGTGTTGTTGGCGGTTCGAATAGAGCAACAATAGATGGACAACATCTACGACCGACACGAGAAGAAGCGGCGGCGGCAGTGGCAGTAGCAGTAGCGACGGAGGCCACGAGCGGCGTTTAGGCTCGAGCCCTGAGCGTGCTGGCAGATAATGTGATAGTTGTGTAGTACGTCGAGTACTCGTACATACCGCAATAGTACTACTAATACACATTGTACGTAGTCATACTACAGGGCCCCACGTGGGTACGTGGGGCCCTGTGGTACTATCGCAGTGTCTAGTACACGATAGTACGTACAGTAAATACTAATACATGCACAGTACTGTTGTATCACAGTCTACATACTAATAGAGTACGTTACGTAGGCCTAACATAGTACATATAATGGGTAATTGCTGGAGGTTTGTAGGATACGAATTGTGTGTGGCACATACTAATTATACATTTCCAGTAGGACATGGCACTGTAATATACATTGTATGCATGTAGCCGTACATCGTACTCCACGTGCGTATATGAAGTATAATACTCAGTGTTATATGCACCAGTGAACGATAATACATACAATATGGCATAGTATATAGTCATAATATACAATGCATGTAGATACATATAATGGCGACAGGACTTAGCACAAATAAGTGTGTTACATACTAATGCTTTTACATGCACAATAGTACTTGGTAATGTGCAATATTACACGATACATAGTTCCATTACAAACCGTACACATTACTATAAACCATATACAGTATATATGGGCCATCAACAGCATTATGCAGTCCAACATATTACATCTATTACAATACATACAAGTATATCCACAGAAGTACATTACTCTAAACCATATAGTGTACAAATTGCGTTGTGGTCAACTCGAGTCCGACAACACTCTAGTACACACTGATGTTAATGCGTACACAATAGCACGTAGTAATACACTTAAATATCATTGTAACGTGCAATATTGACTTACAGCTTTGGTGACTGCAGGATTTCATATTCTTTGGTTCTTTCGGTAAAGTTTTTTTTATTTTCTTTGAACCTATTTACGTGACTTTACCGAAAGACCCAAAGAATATGAAAAATGCAATATTGCTACTACACAGGCATACTACACGATAGTACACTAATACATGCTCTTAGTAATAAACTACCATGTAATATATAGCATGCATGTGGGCAATACGATTTCCTTTACAATAGGATGGTGAAGTACACACACAATACTAATGCTTATTAGGCAATATAACAGTACCGTACATAGAGTACTATATGCATAACACATACTGCCAACTATAGTTAGAACTGCAGTATTTTGTCCCAAGACACGTGGTAATATATTTCACAATATTACATGCTATATAGTCATAGATGGCACTTGGAGTTTTAACTCTAGTATAAATCTATACAGGAATTACATGAAGGAGATGTCATAGGTCTCGCACGCAAGTTGAGAAATTTGTAAATGCCCCCCCCCAATAAGTAAATGCCCCCCCCCATTACACACAGACTAATGATACCTCGGTAGCTTTTATGGGCAGATGATGTGTGACGACTGGAGCGCTGCAGTTAACTACAATACAATATCACTTGCTCAGAAAGGATGTGGGCAAATTATTCGTGGTGATTGTACGACCACGTGTCAACGTCCAACGAAAACCTCGATTCTAGTTGATCACAGCAAGTTTCTGTGAATATTTTAACAGGCAAGGTCTGTGTGTAACACACCATTGCCCAGTATGGGGCCAGGCTTGTGGGATCCTCTGATGGGCCTTACCCGGTAGAATAAAAACAACGAGTTATAGTTAGTTGTAATCTCCCAACATTTTGAAGACTTGCAACGCTCGCAGTCCCACGCGATGGCGATGATGTCACAGGAAACCGATTGTGATGTGTGTTTGGTGATGGAATGAGACGAAAATGCAGTGGGAGGTGGAGGGGTGGGTAGCCGAGTCGTTGGGTTCCAGGTTGCGATCAGGCGCTCGGCATTGCCAAGTATTGAGCCTGCGAGTCGGACCCAAAACGTTCTCAGAACGTAGTTTTTTTGAGCAATAAATTTCTCCCTTTGTGAGTACTGCCGCTAGCAGCCCTTAACCTTTGCTACTTTCTGGCATGTGTGTAATATAAATACAATGTGTTGCTAAGGTATGTATGATTGAACTTATTTCGCACCGGACTTAGCCAGTCGTGCTCATCGGAGGTGCGGGGGAAGGACATCAAACTATAACACTAAAAGCAATTCTAAAGAAAATGATTTTGCAGTCTAGATTCAAAAGTGTATAGCTGCAGTGGCTTGCCATACTTCCAATTACTTTGGCTACGTTATACATGCGTTTTGACTGTTGGGAAGCTTCTTTGAAAAGGTAGCAAAATAAAACTACAAGCTACTAAACATGTTTTAGCAAGAAATACCGATAAGCTCCTTGGAAAAAAAGTAAAGTTACTGCAAGGAAGGTTGCGTGTGTTGCCGGCCTAATTTTAAACTGCTCCACTTTTAAAATGCATCATGCACGACATTGCTGGATATAACGTTATAAATGCAGGACACCATAAACAATGATGACCCTTAAGTCGGTTAAGCTATATTGTGAGCTTTCATTACGCAGACTTAGTGATTTAACTCATGGCCGTAATTATAATATATATTGGGGGGGGGGGGGGGGATGTGTCCCCGATATTCAATATTCAAATACACTGAAAATGACCCCCCCAAATATATTGCTATAAAATTTATTTATGTTTAAATGATTGTGGTTATGGTTGTACTTGATTAATCCCTGATCTCTGCCATTCCGTACAATGAAACAAGAAAAGTTAAGAAAAAACCCAGCAATGTAATACAATACACTATTAGACATTATTGTAAATAAATACATTAAAAAGTCCATCCTATGTGTTAGTGAATGTTTTAATATTTTAGGCAGGAAATGAGTTTCAAATTTAGATTTTTTTTCTGGGGGGGAGGGGGGGGGACCTGGACGATTTGGTCCCCCCCAATTTTGACTTGATGTCTATGGCCTTGATTTCAATACGACGGCGCTCGTCTCGTTTGCCTCCTGTGCGACTGCTGGGCACGGCGCTGCCACCAATTGCAAAGCGGCGCCGTTGTTCACGGTAATGCAGCCGCGCGGACGTCGCTCGCTCAGCAAATAAAACGTAAACAAACAAAATGCACGGAAATTTAATGGCAAAAGTGCCACGGTTAAGAACGGGAGTGTATGTTAGTCTGTTGAACTTCTTTCGCACCGTACGTAGACATCGCGTGTGCATCCGCGCCGTTATGGTAATGTAGCCGCGCGATCATCGCTCGCTCCATACGTTAGACGTAAAGATTGCTCGGAAATTAATGGTAAAAGTAAAATGTTTATATTGAACTTTCACATTTGGCTGCATAAGGCGCGAAACAATGTAACTTTTATAATACATTTCCATGCATTTATGTAGAATTGGCCTTAACAAAAACTCGCATTTTTAAGTCTCGACACACGTGGCCGATAACTTAGTCGTTTTTACGCCAGATGTGTGCAAAAAAATCGTCATTTTCAATGGCATCAAAATCAACTAACAGAACTTTGTCAAAATTGTGAGTGGGACTCGTATTCCCACAGATAACAACCCTGCCAAATGTCCTTGTTGAGTGCCAGCACTGATGCAACTGTAGACACGTGTAGAGAATGGTAGTGCAGTAGCAGTTGTGTATGTTTGTGTCCAAGTCAATTCAGAGCTAGGTTAGCGAGGGCCTCCTCTGCACGCCCATATACCAGTAAAACCTTGGATTGCGAGCATTATTCGTTCCGGAAACGTGTTTGTAATCCAAAGCACTCGTATATCAGAGCACCTGTATTATATCAGTTGTGATCACGTGACACTCGGCAGACAGTTAATGCGTACTGCTCGTATTGCAAGACCCTCGCTCGTTTTATCAAATTAATATTTATTTAAAAAAATTGCTCGTCTTGCAAAACACTCGCAGACCAAGTTACTCGCAATCCAAGGGTTTACTGTATATTATTTTGTCTAACCAGCTGAGAACTCGAAGAGTCGAGTGGAGTCTTGCAAGACGGAGCTGGGTTACCAATATCATGAATGCAAAACAAATAAAATAAAGTACCCCGCAGCAATGAAGCGTCTTAAAACATCTAACCAAAAAACAACTGTTACATGAGAAATATAAAAGATTGCAGGTTGTTAAGTAATACATTACAAACCTATAGCCTGTCCAAGGACAGGGGTTATTGCAGTAAATCTGAAACATTCAAGCGAAAAGCAGACTTCGTCATTCATTGCATCCATTCGTGTGCAATGCGTAAGGCCGCGGTGACACAGACCTATTGCATTTATAAAGGTTACAATCACTTGTTCATCATGACGTCCTTTTTACTTCGATGTCTCAACAGCGTCACGAAGATCACGTGACGTGAGGGTTCTGCCTTTGTAGTGAGGGTTGTAAGTTGACGCCGAGGAGGGGGGAGGAGGCACCTCGGCCCCCCTCCCATGTGGAGTGACGTCACCTGCTAATGATTATCAATGAGCGGGGGGGTCCATTTGGTGGACGTTTTGATGATCTGTGACTTTACCGAAAGACCCAAAGAATATGGACATCACCTGCTCATAATCATTAATGAG